CGTGCTTAATCTAATGGTTTTCTTTGGAGCTAGCTTCAGGAGACTGAAGCTTCAGGAGAATACCCTTTGCTCCCTTATTGTAATGAGTGATTTCCTTTGCCTACAAGTGATAGAACTGGAACTATGTTAGATCTTTGTGAAATTTGTTAAAAAGCGTACTCCAGAAAAGGAAGGGCTGCTTGAAAGGCCCAGGACACATTCTGTCTCTCATCTGGACTTTTCTCTACTTGTTGACTTGACTCTGTGGACTGGCTTTCTCTACACAGTGAGACACATGGCCACCAGTGAGTGGCTCCTGAATTTTTATATATATATGTATGTAAATTCACTATATTTATATACACACACACACATATACACTGAAGGCTGAAGAAGGTCATGAGAGATTATTTTGTCAAAGCTATATATATATATTTTTCTGTATTTTTATATATATATTTTAAAATAAAATAAAAATTAAAAATTAAAATTATATATATTATATATTATTTATATATATATAATTTTTATTTTTTGAGACAGAATCTCACTCCATTGCCCAGGCTGGAGTTCAGTGGCATGATCTCAGCTCATTGCAACCTCCACCTCTGGGGTTCAAGTAATTATTGTGCCCTGGTGTCCTGAGTAGCTGGGATTACAGGCATGTGCCACCATGCCTGGCTAATTTATTTATTTATTTTTGTATTTTTAGTAGAGACAGGGTTTTGCCATGTTGGCCAAGCTAGTCTCAAACGCCTGGTCTCAATTGATCCTGCCTTAGCCTCCCTAAGTGCTGGGATGACAGGCATGAGCTCCTGTGCCTGGCCATATTTTTACGTTTTTGAGACAGGGTCTTGTTCTGTCACCCAGGGTGGAGTGCAGTGGTGCGATCATGGCTCACTGCAGCCTCGACCTCCCGGACCCAAGCAGTTCTCCTACCTCAACCTCCAGAGTAGCTGGGACTACAGGTGTGCACCACCATGCCTGGCTAATTTTTAAATTTTTAAATTTTAAATTTAAATTTTAAATTTTTTGTAGAAATGGAATCTCACTGTGTTGCTCGGGCTGATCTCGAACTCCTGGGCTCAAGTGATCCCGCAAAGTGCTGAGATTACAGGTGTAAGCCATCATGTCCGGCCTCCTGAATTTTTTAAGTTGTAAATGCTACCATAAGAGAAGGACAGACATTGTTTTTTCAGTTATAGTTCAGAAAAATCCCAAGTACCTACCTTTGACCTTTCAGCCGTAGTCAGAGCAGGGACTGAGGTACTGTAGTTGGTCTTGCCTGGACCTACCTTTGGTCAGTCAGTTGCGTTGAGGTGTAAGTCTTTATAGAATCACTTGGTGAGAAAAGGACATACGATATTCCTAGAAAAAGGGTATTTCTGGGCAGGCCAAACACTAGACATCCACGTCACCCGGCATTACACACTGAAGGCTGGAGAAAATCATGAGAGATCATTGCATCAAAGCTATTTGGCATTCTGGAAGCAAATTCTACTGACTGGTGGCTAGACCACAGACAGTGATTATAATGAGGGCCCTTGAAGTTATTTGAAGCTCTAACCTGTACCAATTCTGAACAATTTCCTTTTGGTACTTTCAAACTCATCATTTGTTTTTCACAATGAGATATGTTGTCACTAGTGGCTCCTGAATTTTGTAACTTGTCAATTCTGCCATAGAAGAGGGACTGACATTATTTTTCAGTTGTAGTTCAGAAAAATCCCAAGTACCCCCATTTGGCCTGTCATCTGTAGTCTGAACAAGGAATGAGGTGCTGTGGACGGAGGTACCATCCTTAGCTAGGTCCAAAAATGTTTGTTACTCTCGTCTATCAAAGTGGTTTTCAACCTTTTTTTAATGTAGTAAGACAATATTCTTAAATCAAAAAAGGAAAAAAAAATCCTGCATGCAAAGCAGTAGTAGTATGTATTTGTGGATCCATAAAAATGTAATAGAAGTATTACCGAAATGCAGACTAAAGGGCTGTGGACCACATTCATGACTGTTGTGGTCTCTGGGCAGGGAGATGGGAAGTGGTATTGAAAATATAACAGATTTTTCTCCAATTTAAAGAAAAAGTAACATAGGGCTGGATGCAGTGGCTCACACCTGTAATCCCAGCACTTTGTGAGGCTGAGGCAGGTGAATCGCTTGAGCTCAGGAGCTGGAGACCAGCCTGGCCAACATGGCAAAACCAAAAATAGAAAAATTAGTGGGGCATGGTGGTGTGCGCTTGTAGTCCCAGCTACTCGGGAGGCTGAGGTGGGAGGATTGCTTGAGTCTGGGAGATGGAGGTTGCAGTGAGCCGAGATTGCACTGCTGCACTCCAGCCTGGAAATTAAAAGAATGAAAATAATTCCTCCAGAATTAGCCAACATTGATTGTATGGCATTTGTCCTCCAGCAACACAAGGAGGCAGCAGTGTAGCGCAGTTGTAAAGCTGTAAAGTGCACATGCTGGGGACCCAGACTCCCTGAGTTCTGGGTCCAGGTCCTGGTTCTGTTGCTTACTATCCTGGGTAAGTTATTTCATCTCTATATGCTGCATTTGTATAGTACTATATTCCTCATTTGTATAGTACTATACAATTACTTTTTATATCTCCAAATTCCTACTTTATGTAGTTGTGATGTTTTTAGAAAAAATATGTATAAAATGCTTAGAACAGTATGTGGCACATTGGAAGCACTCAATAAGTATTAACTATTATTCATGTTGTTATTACTGGGGGGACAGAAATAACTTGTAATCATGGGTATTTTTTCTCATTTAAAAAAAACACATATTGAGAGCTTACTACACATCTGGCACTGTATTCACGCTACTACCTTGTCTCATTTCAGCCTTACAAGGCAGTTATTTTATTGTAGGTAGCAAACTGAAGATCAGCGAAGTAACTTGATTAAGCATCAGTGACCACCAAATGATTGAGCTGGATTAGAACCAAGCTCGGGAACTCCAAACGCCCCGTTCTTAACCTCTGCATTTCATTACTGCCAACACATTTCTTATCTTTCTTAAGCAAATTCCAAAGAAGCCAGGAAAAAATTGCCTAGGATAGCTAAATTTAGCTTAACAATATATGATTTAGAATTGGGAATATAGGAAAATATATGTAGATAAGTAAAAGATACTTTAAAAATTTAGCACTTTTATATACCATATTTGGCAGTGTCTACTATGTGTTAGAGACCATGCCAGGTGCTTTACAGAAACTTGGTGAAATTCTTAGACAGTGCTGCATGTTGGGCATTCTGTGTCTCCTTTAGAAATGAATCAGTCTCAGAGATATTACATATCCCATGCAGGGACCTAGAACCACAAAATGGCATTCACGATCCCAACTGCATGCTTTTCATTACATGGAACTGGGTTTTCTCCCATCGTCAGTTGTTTGTATTTTACTTTTGAGGTAGCTGTATATATTCTGGATTTTATTGATCTTGTCATCTTTTGTTTCCTATAGTTTAGAAAAATTGGAGGCAAGTAACATGTAAAACATTTAATCAGGTGACTGTGCAGTTAGGTAATGCAAACTATTTTTGTAATAATGCAAAGTGTAATCTTTACATGTTTTTTGCTTGTTGGCCAGGCATGGTGGCTCACACCTGTAATCTCAGCACTTTGGGAGGCTGAGGCGGGAGGATTCCTGAGGTCAGAAATTCAAGACCAGCCTGGCCAACATGGTGAAACCCTGTCTCTCTCCCTTTTTTTTTTTTTTTTTATTTTTGAGACAGAATTTCACTCTTGTTGTCTGGGTTGGAGTGCAGTGGCACAATCTCGGTTCACTGCAACCTCTGCCTCCTAGGTTCAAGTGATTCTTCTGCCTTAGCTTCCCGAGTAGCTGGGATTACAGGCATCTGCCACCATGCCCAGCTAATTTTTCATATTTTTAGTAGAGATGGGGTTTCGTCATGTTGGCCAGGCTGGTCTCAGACTCCTGACTACAGGTGATCCGCCCACCTTGGCCTCCCGAAGTGTAGGGATTACAGGTGTGAGCCACCGCACCTGAGTGAAACTCCATCTCTACTAAAAATACAAAAATTAGCTGGGCGTGGTGGCACACATCTGTAATCCCAGCTACTTGGGGGGCTGAGGCGTGAGAGTTGCTTGAACCCAGGAGGTGGAGGTTGCAGTGAGCCGAGATCGTGCCACTGCACTCCAGCCTGGGCAAGAGAGCCAGACTCTGTCTCAAAAAAATATTAAAGTAAATAGGCCACGCGCTATGGCCCACGCCTGTAATCCTAGCACTTTGGGAGGCTGAGGTAGGCCAATCACGAGGTCAGGCGATCGAGATCATCCTGGCCAACATGGTGAAACCCTGTTTCTACTAAAAATACAAAAATTAGCTGGGCGTGGTGGTGCGCACCTGTAGTCCTGGCTACTCGGGAGGCTGAGGCAGGAGAATCACTTGAACCCAGGAGGCGGAGGTTACAGTGAGCCAATATCGTGCCACTGTACTCCAGCCTGGTGACAGTGAGACCACATCTCAAAATAAATAAATAAATAAACTTTTTTTAGCTTTTTGAGGAGAAAAGTACACCTATAGCTGGCCCATTAACATATAGCGTACTTGACAATGAAAAGTAAAAAATTCTCCATTTTGGCTTGGTAGACTTTGCCCGCCTTTAGCAGTAAAATTGTTACTCTATTGTTGGTTTCTAGTACAATATGCTGGTACAGAGTGATCACTTTATTTCCTAACACAAGAATTTCAGAGAATTTTCTGCCTCAAAGAAAAAAGCAGCAGGTGTGTGATTAGTCAATATTGTGTTTATCTCTGTGAGATTCAAATTTTCCTCCTAAAAGCATTATCACAGTGCAACGTCACTTTTGTATTCCTTCATTTGAATAGTTCCTATACATTATTATGGTTTAAAAAAATAAGTCTAAAGGTGGCAATATCCTAACACTGAAAGCAGTGTATTTTTGCTTGACTTATTATTATGAACACATTATGTCACTGCGCATTCAAGTGGTGTGATGGGAAATGATCAAGTCTTCCTTTTTACCAGGTGATCAGACTCTGAGAATATGGGATGTGAAGGCAGCAGGAGTCAGAATCGTGATTCCCGCACATCAGGCAGAAATCTTGAGTTGCGACTGGTGTAAATACAGTGAGGTACAGTGTATGGCTCTATCCTAAGCTGCTGTCCTTCCTAATGTTAAAATGTTCTAAATTTTATTTATCTTTGTTTATGTGGACTTTGATGGTGTTCCTGGACCATTAAGTTAAATTCTGTCCCTTTCCTTTCTAATTAATGATTGTGACTGACCTGCATTAGCATTAATTGGATATAAGTGCTCATAAAACGGGCAAAATAAGAAACAGAAATTTTCAAAGTTCAACAGTGCAGCCTTACTTGTTTGTTTTGGGAAGCTGCCTTACCAATTTATGTAATGTTTTTCTTTATTGCTCTTAACCCTGCAATTTTGTATCATCTTTTGCTTTTATTTCTTTTTCACTTTGCTAGTCAGGCTGTTGAACTATTTGTAATTTGATTTTTAATTTGACAGTCCATCAGTTTTTAAATTTTTCTGTTTCATCTTCCTTTTTAAGCCTAACCAATTTTCATGCCTCTGTAAGATAAGTGTCCATGTGTAACTTTTTTAAAGCTTCAGTTAACCACATGAACATATGAATCAGAGATAGAAATGGATTAAATATGTGTTAATATACTACAGTCATGCACTGCATAACAACATTTCAGCCAATGACAGATTGCATATATGACAGGGCCCTTAAGACATAATGGAGCTGAAAAATTCCTATTGCCCCCGAAGACCTTCCAGCAGGACAAGATGTGGAAGTAGAAGACAGTGATATTTATAATCCTGACTCAGTGTAGCCCTAAACTAATGCGTGTGTGTCTCAGTTTTGTAAAAAAAAAAAAAAATTAAATAGAAAAAAAGCTTATAAAATAAGGATATAAAGAAAGAAAATATTTTTGTATAACTCTACAATGTGCTTGTGTTTTAAGTTTTGTTATTATGAAGAATCAAAAAGTAAAAAAAGCCAGGCGTGGTGGCGGGCGCCTGTAGTCCCAGCTACTCGGGAGGCTGAGGCAGGGGAATCGCCTGAACTGGGAGGCAGAGATTGCAGTGAGCCAAGATCACGCCACTGCACTCCAGCCTGATGACAGAGCAAGACTCCATCTCAAAACAACAACAACAACAAAAAAAAATTTAAAAAAAAATAGAAAATTTATGAAGCAAAAAATTACAGTAAGCTAAGGTTAATTTATTATTGAAGAAAGGAAATTAAAAAAATAAATTTAGTGTAATGTTCTAGGCCTTCCTATTCACTCACTACTCACTCACTCACTGACTCACCCAGAGTAATTTCCAGTTTTGTAAGCTCCATTCATGGTAAGTACCCTACTACCATTTTTTATCTTCCATAATATATTTTTACTATACCTTTTCTGTGTTTAGATATAGAAATCCTTACCATTGTATTACAGTAGCCTACAATATTCAGTACAGTAATATGATGGACAGGCTTGTAGCCTAGGAGCAATGGGCTGTTTCATCTAGCCTGGGTGTGTAGTAGGCTGTACCACCTAGGTTTGTGTAAGTACATTCCATGATGTTCACGCGAAGATGAAATTGCCTAATGCCACATTTCTCAGAGCATATCCCCATCATTAAGTGATGCATGACTGTGTTTATGTCCCTGAAGTAGTCTGTTGACCGTGACAAATAAATAAAATATATGCTTTGTTTTTTCCCAGTCTTAAATTAATTAAAGCTAAAAGAACATTGTACTGACAGAGTTCTTTAAATAAAAATAAGTAAAATAAGTTATTAATAAGTACATATGCAATGATACTAATCTAAACATTTCAATGCTGATGACTACAGTTTCAAAGTCATAAATGAATTTTTCATATTGGAAAATTAATTATGGCCTGTATGTTAGATGTTTGGGAATTCTAAACAAAGATGCTGATAGACATTTGAGAGTGGTTTACAAAATTTATTTTCTAATAACTGAAACTTTTCTTCAAATTAGCTTACACTAAAACCCAACATAGTCAGACAATGTTTGCTTGGTGCGAAAGTAATTGCAGTTTTTGCTATTACTTTCGATGCAAAAACCGCAACTACTTTTGCACCAACTTAAATCCTTTGCTGTTCTGGGTTATGTGGGGTGGACTGAGTGTGGACCCAGCACTTGACCTATTCAGCTAGGACCTCTGGGTTCACTTGGGGCTCTAGATAGCAGAATTTGTAAAGCCAGAATAGATAAGAGACTCACCACTATTTGATTACATTCTTGGATATGATTAGATATTGTATTAAGAATTGTGGTCCAAGAGAGTTGGAAACAATGATTAATTTAGATTTAGAGAACATGGAAAAATTTAATTCATAGCCTTTGCTTTTTCAGATGTACCTAAATGAACAGACCTCTTGCCTTTTAATGCCTGGAAAAACCTCAGAGTATGTTGAAACCCTTTTTGTTTGTTTTTTAGAGACGAGGTCTCACTGTTGCCCCGGCTGGTCTCAGACTCCTAGGATCAAGTGATCCACCGGCCTCGGCCTCCCAAAGTGCTGGGATTATAGGAGTGAACCACCACACCCAGTCTTGAAAACCTTTTTTAAATTTTTATTTTTTTTTTAGAGGCAGAGTCTTGCTCTGTCATCCATGCTGATGTACAGTGGGGTGATCACAGCACACTGTAGCCTCTAACTCTTGGGCTCACACAGTCCTCCTGCCTCACTCAACCTCTCAAGTAGCTAAAATTACAGGTGTGTGTTACCATGCCTGGCTAATTTTTTAAAATTTTTTGGGTAGACAGGGTGTTGCTTTATTGCCCATGCTGGTCTCAAGTTCCTGGCCTCAAGTCATCCTCTCACCTGTGCCTCCCAAGGTGCTGGGATGCCAGGGAAAACCATTTGAAGAGAAAGCTGGGCTCATTTGTCAGATAAAAATTTTAATCCCCTGTGTACTTACTGCCACTTGTAAAGGTGGATTAGAAAATCCACAATGCTATTTGGAACTATGCCTTTTCCAGCTGTGTGTAGTGTTCCATCGTGTACATAAAGCATATTGAGTTCTTTTTCTCACAAGTCATACTAATTTTTTGCTATTAATGTCTATGTTGATTCCTGTCTGTACTTGTTACACAACTTCTCAAAAATGGCTCCTGGGTTCATATTAAATAATTATCAGAAAGTAGATGTTGTTTCTAGTAGGAAAGCCTGCATACTGTTTAATTGCAAAGATGTCACAGTTTATGTTTCTCTGAATTGTTTTTAGAATTTGCTGGTGACAGGTGCCGTTGACTGTAGCTTGAGAGGCTGGGACTTAAGGAATGTACGACAACCAGTGTTTGAACTTCTTGGTCATACCTATGCTATTAGGAGGGTGAAAGTAAGTTTTCATCTTTTCTTTTATATGTAGAATAAAATTACATACATATAATCAATGAAGCATATATTAAGAAGTGTTCTGGGTTTAGGGATTGGAGTTACTAATTCTTTTTTATATGTGTTTTTGTTACCTAGTTAATATTGAAAGCTAAAATTAGTTAAGAATATTTGAATAATTATTGAATGAATTTGGGCAATGTAGACATTCAATACTTAACGTTAAATAAAAATCTTTTTCTCATTCTTTCACCCCCAATCTGTTATTTCCTTTAATATTATTTTTTTAACTATAGTAATTCACTTTTAGTGTTATGTTCTTTATAAGTTTCTAATCAGTGAGAGTCTCTTTGTTGAAACAGGTGTAAAGAGATGGTTAATTCTTTTTCCTAACATGATAACATACATGACTGTTCACAGATGTTTGGGATATAGAAAGTTTTCTACTCTGAACAGCAGAGGATGAGGTAAATTTTTAATGATGGTCCCAGTAAATTTCTCTGGGTTATAAGATGACTTAGGTTAGTTTCCTGGCTTTCATTTAGGCAGGTTCTGCTAAATGACTGGAAAGCATCTTATTAAGTGACATCTCCCAATTTCATCCTTTTTTTTTTTTTTTTTTTACGTTAAGGGTAAAAAAGTACCTTATTGATTATTTTAATAAGATAATTACGGTATTCCTACTATTTTAAAAATTCTAAATTTGTTTTTCTTTTTTTCGAGATGCAGTCTTGCCCTGTCACCCAGGCTGGAGTGTAGTGGCACGATCTCGGCTCACTGCAACCTCTGCCTCCTGGGTTCAAGCAGTTCTCCTGCCTCAGCCTCCTGAGTAGTTGGGACTACAGGTGTGCGCCACCATGCCCCACTAATTTTTTTGTATTTTTAGTAGAGACGGGGTTTCACAGTGTTGTCCAGGCTGGTTTCGAACTCCTGACCTCAAGTGATCCACCTGCCTTAGCCTTCCAAAGTGCTGGGATTACAGGCTGAGTCACCATGCCTGGCCAAAAATTCTAAATTTTTAGTTAAGTTAATATTTTAAGTTTCGCTGGCTGCAATGCAACATAGGAGACACAGTGCTGTTTTATTTTTTAATAAAAATTTGTTTTATGTGGACAAGTTTTAGCAGTTGAAAAATATGCTCTATGTATATTTCAGAGTGATTCTGAGAATGAAATAAGGTAATGTAGTGAAAGTACTTTGCAAACTAAGTGCTGGTCAAATGTAGTTACATATGTGTATTTAACTATTTAAAGTGCTGGTAAGACAAACACTGAAGAAAGGTAATTGCAAAGGTCAACTTATTAAGTACATTTTTACTCATCTAGAAGACGTTACTTGTCTTTAAACTTGCTTTTTATCCTTGATATCATTTTCCATTAGCTGTAATATACAAATAACATAAAAATATCTTAAAGGTGTTTTTATTTAACATTTAAATGTTTATTTTGATAACTTGTGATTATAGCAATTATATATTTGTAAAATTGGTAAATGATATAATTATATATTTGTACTATTATATAATTAAATCCCTTGTATTTGTAAGGATCATTTTTGTTTGTTTGTTTGTTTTTGGTTTTTTTGAGCCAGAGTCTCTCTGTCGCCCAGGCTGGAGTGCAGTGGCATGATCTCAGCTCACTGCAACCTCCACCGCCTGGGTTCAAGCAATTCACCTGCTTCAGCTTCCCGAATAACTGAGATTACAGGCATATGCCACCATGCCTGACTAGTTTTTGTATTTTTAGTAGAGACAGGGTTTCTATTAAACCATGTTGGCCAGGCTGGTCTTGAACTCCTGACCTGAGGTTATCTGCCCTCCTCAGCCTCCCAAAGTGCTGGGATTACAGGTGGGAGCCACCGCACCTGGCCTATAAGAATCATTTTTGGATAGCCAGTATGAAATTGTATTTAATTTTTCCAGAATAGCAACATTTTGGGAATATTTTGTTCTAAGTAAGTTCTAAAAAGCTTGAGGGATAATTTTCTTTGGAGAATATAAAAATATTTTTCCCGAAGATGGATACTTAAAAGGCCAGAAGATTTTGGCCTCAAATTAAAGCATATATGCTTTGGAAAAGCATAATTTTAAGTGACAGCTCTGACTCAACTTAAATTTATTATAATGTTTATGGAATGATCTTAGAAAGCAGTATTATTATCACAGCTGACTTCAAAAAGGGTTTTTTTCGTTTCTTTTTTTTTTTTTAGTTTTCGCCGTTTCATGCTTCTGTGCTGGCCTCTTGCTCGTATGATTTTACTGTAAGGTACAGTGGTTTTTAATACATTTCCTTTTGAAATACCAGATAACATTTGCATCTTTGCAACTTTTATAAAAGATAATGTGATTACTCTTACTAACATGAAAATAATCTGAGATGGGTACATTTAAATATTTATTAGGATTAATATTATATTTTTCCTGTTTTCATGATCCAGTCACATATATGAGTAAATTTTTTCTCTTCAAGTATTAGCCTGGCTATTCTGTTTAAAAGCCCTCTTTTCTAATAGATGTTTCTATGGTAACACTTTCCTACACTATGGATCGCATAGCCAATATCTTCGAAATTTAGATTTAGAAATTTGGAAATTTCATTTCTTCAGATCTAGTTATATGAGTCTTAAGGCTAAGATTGCTTAGATGAAAAAAACAAAGAACATGAATGTATGATTTTTTGTGAATGTAGATATATGAACATATATGTGTATATATGTGCATGGGTATCTAGATAAGAGTGTGTGTGGGTGTGTGTCTCTATTTATACTTCTAGTTACAGTGCCACACCACACAGGATTTATTTTCTCTTTCCAAATTTGTAACTCTTGACTTCCATTTTATTCACAATATATTTTCTTATGTGTTAGACCCTGTAATGCTTAGAAAGTAGTTTCAGAATTGCAAAGCCATACGTTTGAAAAAAAGAATCTTACTGATTAGAGCTCAGCACTTGCTTAGAGTTTTTTTGTCTTTAGTTCAAATACTATATTCAGAAGTTACTTAGGTTAATTCTCCTCTTCTCTGTTAGAGTGTGGTTATGTTATTCACTTGAAACATGGTTTGATTCCTTTGTTTCTGTTTGTATTCAATTTTAGGGTTTTCCTCCCGTCTTTGTTGATTTTGTCTAGGCAAAACATTGACATGGTTTCAAAAGTCAAGATGTACATAAAGATATATTCAGAAAGATGTCATTTCCCCCCTTCTATTTCCTCAGCCTTTCTGTTTTATTCTGTTCCATACTCTATAGGTAACTAGTCTCACTCATATACATAGACAGATATATATTTTCTCATTTCCCCCTTTCTTACACAAAGAGTGGGGTACTTTCGATACATACTCCTTTAAATTTTGCATTTTTCACTTAAAATATATCCTGGAAATCTTTCTATATCAAAGAGCTCATTCTCATTCTGCATAATACACCATTGTGTGGATGTACTGTAGTTTATTTGGCTGCTCTCCTATCTATGGAGATTTAGCTTGTTTTCAATGTTTTGTAAATAAACAGTGCCACAGTGAATGATAGCTTTGTGTTACTGGAGAATTAATGTCCGGTATTCCTAGAAGTGGGATTGCTGAGTTAAAAAGTAAACACATGTAGTTTTGTTAGATGTTACTGAATTCCCATTCATAAGGAATATGCCAATTTTGATACTCAGCAGCAATGTTTGAGAGTACCTGTTTCTCTGCCATCTAAAGATCATTGATTCATTAGGGTTTTCCAGGTGTATGATCATATCACCTGCAAGTAAAGGTGGTTCTACACCTTCATTTCCAATTCTGATGCCTCTAATTGATTTTTCTTAAAATTGCCTCCACAAATACCACTAATACAGTGCTAAATAGTTTATAGAGAATGTCTGATTCATGATACAAGTGCAAATGCCTTTAGTGTTTCTCTATTAAAAATAAGATTCTGACTGTAATGCAAATTATAAATGTTTATTTGTTTGTCATACTAAGAAAGTATGCATGAATTCCTATTTTCTTGAGGTTTTTTTTTTTTTTAAATCAGAAATGGATCTTAAGTTTTGTTGAAGGCTTTTTTTGTCCAGCATTTATGGAGATAATCATGATTTTTCTTCTTAGAGATGTGGCTATGATGTACTATATTAATGGATTGAACCAACCTTGCATTCCTAGAGTAAGTCTCTCATGCTCTTTGTGTATCATTTTCTCACCATGATGTTGAATTGTGTTTGCTAATATTTTATTTAAAGCTTCTGCATCAGTAATCAAAGGTGATATTAGTTGCCGTTTTCTTTCTTTTTTCCTTTTGTTTATGTGTCTGTATTTTACTTGCTTCATAAAAAAGAATTAAGAAATTTTCCTTTGTTTCCAAAGCTCTGGAACAACCTGTACGGCATTGAGACTGTTTGGTCTTTGAATCCTTGGTAGGATTGCTCTGCGAAACTAGTGAAGCATGGTGCTTTTTGTGGAGTACTTTCTTGATAACTTCATTTCTTTTATGGAAATGAGTCTGTTTAAACTTTGTGTCTCTAATGGGATCAAGTTTGGAAATTGTCCCTTGCTTGTAGGTTTTCAAATTTATTTGTAGACGTGTCTGTAAAGTGAGTGGACACAGTGGCTCATGCCTGTATCCCCAGCACTTTGGGAGGCCGAGGTGGGCAGATCACCTGAGGTTAAGTGTTCACGACCCATCTGGCCAACATAGTGAAACCCAGTTTGTACTAAAAATAGAAAAATTAGCCAGGCGTGATGGCAGGTGCCTGTAATCCCAGCTACTTGGGAGGCTGAGGCAGAATTGCTTGAACCCATGAGGCGGAGATTGCAGTGAGCTGAAATCGTGCCACTACACTCCAGCCTGGGTGACAGAGTGAGACTTTGCCTCAAAAAAAAAAAAAGTCTGTGAAGGAATGTTGTAGGATTTCTTCTCTTTTGTTGGTTGGTTTACTATTGTTATTTCTGATTTTGTATCTTTATGAGTTCTTTGACTATCTAGTGGTATGTTTATTTTGTTATTTTTCTTCAGCAGGCAGAATTTTAATTTATTAATTAGAACTACTTTTTTCAGCCAGGTGCAGTGGCTCATGCCTGTAATCCCAGCACTTTGGGAGGCTGAGGTGGGTGGACCACCTCAGGTCAGGAGTTCAAGACCAGCCTGACCAACATGGTAAAACCCCATCTCTACTAAAAATACAAAATTAATTGGGCATGGTGGTGCATGCCTATAATCCCTGCTACTGGGGAGGCTGAGGCAGGAGAATTGCTTGAATCCAGGTAGCAGAGGTTGCAGTGAGCCAAGATTGTGCCATTGCACTCTAGCCTGGGCAACAAGAGCAAAACTCTATCTCAAAAAAAAAAAAAAAAAAAAAAAAGAACTGCTTTTTAAAATTAATCACTGCTTTTATTTTTATTATTTCCTTTTTGGTACTTTCTTTTTGTTGTTCTTTTTTTCAGCTTCTTGAGGTGGGAATTTATTTGTATTCTTTCATTTTGTTAATAAAGTGTTTAAGGCTATAAATTTTTTTCTGGTTGTTATTCAAACTATAGCCCATAGATTCTGATATATAATGTTTTCATTATCATTTAAAAATTTTTGTAAGTTCTGTTTTACTTGCCTTTTCTTCCAAGAGTTGTATAATAGTAAATTACTTAGTTTCCATATGAAAATGCCTTTTAACTTAAAAAAATTTGTTAATAATTTCTAGTTTTATTGCATTAAAATCAGAGAATACTATTTTAGTCATTCAGTTTTATGAAACATATTGACATTTGGGGGAAGTAGAACCTAATAAATGATCAGTTTTTGTTAATGTTTCATTTGCAGTTGAGAATAATGTATATTCTCCATTTTCAGGCTGTTAAGTTCAGTATGTAATCATAAGCTTACAAATTGATTATGTTGTTTAGGCTTTCTGTATCCTTTCTTATTATTGGTCCACGTAGTCTGAGAATGGTATGTTACTGAGAGTGGTGTGTTAAAATCTCCTATCATTAGCAGGCTTCTACATCTCCCTGCATCTTTTGTAGTTTTGACTTTATAGAAACAGATGCTGTGTTTCCGGTGTGTAGATACTATAATGTATATGGCGAGTTGAGACTTTTAGCATTAAAGAATATCCTTCTTTGTCACAGTTAATGCTTTTTGTTTCAGTTATGCCTTGTCTCATATCAGAATCATTGCCCTCGCTTTCATATTGTGTTTACTTTCCAGATATACTTTCCCCCATACCTTTATATTTTGTTTTATCATATTTTCAATTCTTTAATTTTTTTTTTTTAAATTATACTTTAAGTTCTGGGATATATGTGCAGAATGTGCAGATTTGTTACATAGGTATATACATGCTATGGTGGTTTGCTGCACCCATCAACCAGTCATCTACATTAGGTATTTCTCCTAATGTTATCCCTCCTCTAGTCCCCCACCCCCTGAAAGGTCCCAATGTGTGATATTCCTCTCCCTGTGTCCATGTAATCTCATTGTTCAACTCCCACTTATGAGTGAGAACATGCAGTGTTTGATTTTCTGTTCCTGTGTTAGTTTGCTGAGAATGATGGTCTACATCTTCATCCGTGCCCCTGCAAAGGACATGAACTCTATCGATAATTTTTTATGGCTGTATAGTATTCCATGGTGTATATGTGCCACATTTTCTTTATCCAGTGTATCATTGATGGGCATTTGGGTTGGTTCCAAGTCTTTGCTATTGTGAACAGTGTTGCAATAAACATACGTGTCTTTATTGTATGTGTCTTTATTGTAGAATGATTTATAATCCGTTGAGTATATACCCAGTAATGGGATTGCTGGTTCTAGATCAAATGGTATTTCTGGTTCTAGATCCTTGAGGAATCACCACACTGTCTCCCACAATGGTTGAACTAATTTATACTTCCACAAACAGTGTAAAAGCCTTCGTATTTCTCCACATTCTCTCTAGCATCTGTTATTTCCTGACTTTTTAGTGATCGCCATTCTAACTGTTGTGAGGTGGTATCTCATTGTGGTTTTGATTTGCATTTCTTTAATGACCAGTGATGATGAGCTTTTTTTCATATGTTTGTTGACCACATTAATATCTTCTTTTGAGAAGTGTCTGTTCATATCCTTCACCCACTTTTTGATGGGGTTGTTTTTTCTTGTAAATTTGTTTGAGTTCCTTGTCGATTCTGGATATTAGCCCTTTGTGAGATGGATAGATTGCAAAAATTTTCTCACATTCTGTAGGTTGCCTGTTCACTCTGATGATAGTTTGTTTTGCTGTACAGAAGCTCTTTAGTTTAATTAGATCCCGTTTG